TTTTTTTAGATAAAATGCTAGATGGATGAGTATTGAGTATGTTTTTTAGTCATTGCTATATTATTAACAACTGACTTACGGTATTGATTTTTGAAGTTATGGCTGTCCACACACCATTGCTTTTTGTACTATTAATATTAACTTTAAAATCGCAAAAAGGCGCAAAAATATTTCAATTTCAAATGATGCACTAATCGGTACAAAACTTAAAGCAAAGAACTTTCTACTACACCTGATAGACATATTTTATATAAATTATAATGTTCATAAATTCAGTTATTTAAGTTTCATGTATCGTTTTTTTTAAATTAAAAAATATCTTACTTTGGTTACTTTGGTTACTAATTTTATTAATTTCTTCCGCTACTGCAAGTTTCTCTCTCTTCACTTGATCATCCATTATATCTTGTTTCTTTCTTAATTTTGTACCTATTATTTTCATGAGTAATTTTGAAAACAGCTTCTCTTCCATTATAATTAATAAAGCAAAATATAAAATTGGTGTTAAAGCTAGATATACTATACATTCTTTGAAACTCATATCATATGTGAAGTCATTGAAGTAAATTAATTGATTTTCGCACATTCCATCTACGCAATTCAAGTCTGAAAAGAATGATGAAATAAATCATAAATTCTATAGCATCTTGCATTTGATTTAAATATTGCATAATCTTACCACAACAAATATCTTTTTTTAGACGGCAAATCAAATCCTGATAATTATTTGGAAAATAACGACACCTTGCATTTTTTAATGATACTTTGAAAAAAGATAGTTGACCGTGGAACAAACTAACGTAAGGAATTAAACGGAAGATTCTCTTTTGCAGAATGAATAGCGGATGAAGCCAATCAAAATTGTCTGTTATATTATGTAGAGAATACTGCATTAAAACTGGAATAATTTTTCAGAATTAATCCTCTTCGTATATAAAATTGTATTCGTATTTTCAATAGATTATTGAATTTATTTAATTCAATAAATTTTTTGACACTTTTAACATCTTTAAGAACAAATATTGCAAGTTTACCAAAGCCAATAGGTATGACATCCAATATGGTTATTATAGTACTCGTTGATTTATTCATAAAACTAAATAGATATGTAAAAAGTAAAATGTTAACACCGAATAACTCCAGAAGCAATATCGTGCACACTGTAAAAGGAAATAAATAAATATATAAATATTAAAATATAATAGTAATTAATATTGAATATAATTTAAAAACTTACTTATTTCTGTTATATAATATATACGAAGATCAAGAATAATATCCATGATGTAGAGTGATATGGTAA